ATGAATAGCAACTACTAAATTACAATATAACCTGGTGTTGTTCAACCTATTCTTGTATTCATAAGAACTGCCACTGCAATTCAATGACCTGTGAATGTTTGATATAACAGAAGCCTGGCTCCCCCAGTAAAAATCCCCAATTGAACAATAGTAATTCAATACTACAAATCTAAGTCCTTTGGGATTCAATCTCCTTTACCCTGAAGCTTCAATTCAACAAACATGCATTAAGTGATGTGCAAAGAACAAGAAAGTAGGTGAGGTGCTGGGAAAGCAGTGTGAATGAGCCTTTCGGGAGCTTGCACTCTGTCAGAAGAGAGATTTAAGCCAATGATTACAACACAGTGTGGTACTTCAATATCAAAAGTATGTGTATCCTCACAAATAAATATGAAACCATCTCAAAATAGGCATATAAAAATAATAGGCAACTCATAAAAGAATACAAATGATCGACAGATCAAACCCACTGTTTGCCTATGTAATCAGTGTATATTAAAAAGTTCATAATATCCACTGTTGGTGGGAGGTGCAGGAAAATGGTCATTCTTACACTCTTACTGGGCTACATTTCTACAGAATAATTTGGAAAGTTGGTCATTTAAAGCCATTTAAATGTATATTCTTTGACTTGGAAATTCTACTGGTTTCAGTGAATGGATAAATTAGTTTCACTAACCAAAAGAAAAAAGAATATAATTCAATTTTAGAATGACAACTTTGGTTTAATAGTGTAAATTTCACACTCCTACAAGATATTCAAGTAGGCAGTTGGACATATGTAATAATCAGCATTTACTAATGGAGTTTGCTAATCTTACATACATTATCTCATTTAATCTCTCCAAGATTCAAAGCCATCTGTATACATTGGCAGGACCAAGATTCAAACACAGCTCTTAAGCCAAAGCTCTCAGTCAATATTCTGTTCATCGTTCATGGGTATGACACCCGGCAGAAAGGTCCAAGATAGAAACATACATTTTGCAAGTTTATCTTTCGTTTATTTCTTCATTCAGCAGACATATATTAGGTATCTAAGGTTGGATCTAAGGATACCAAGAAAGTAAAGTTAAATTTCTTATCCTTAGGGCAATAAAATAGGCATGAAAACAAAAAACTGCAATCTGATATGGCAGTGATCATAGAAATAATAAAGAGGAATAATACTAACCCCCAAACAAAGAGAGAGAGAGTCAACTCTGCATCGGAGAAAGAGTCATCAAGGTTCTAAGAAAGGAAGACAATGCTTGGCCATGATTTTGAAGGATGAGTGAAAAAAAAAACTATCCCCCAAGTGGACAGGAGAAGCAGGTAAGGAATCTGATTTCAGAAAAAAAGCGTTGAATATACATCACTCACAGCAGCATGGTCGGTACAAAGAAATACATGTAGGTCACCACAGTGATAAACGGACAGTGCCCTTTAACCACTCTCTAACCCCCACCCTCTGCTCCTCCAGACGCTGCAGAAAAAAATAAAGGAAATATAAAGCCTTCCACTCTCTTGAATTGCATTTTCCAAAGAGGTCCACACCTCTAATCTCCCCTCCAAACTGAGAATTGGAAAGGGACTAGGCAGCTTCCCTTGCCAATGAGGAGAAGCAGTGATGTAATGACACTCTCCAAAACAGCTTCCCAAAAGCACTGCTATCCACTGCTTCACCCAGCCTTCGGTTTTCTTCATGGCCTTTATTTACTAAAATCCCATCATCTATTCATTCTTTTCCTTGTTTATTGCTTTTCTCCCTCATTAGATTATAAGCTCCAGGAAGGCATGAGATGGGCCTCGTCTATTCTATTCGCCACTATGTCTTTTTTCTTTTTGAGACAGGGTCAGGCTGCAGTGGAGTGATGTGACATGGCTTTCTGCAGCCTCACCCTCCCGGGCTCAAGCAAATCCCACCTCAGACTCCCAAGTAGTTGGGACTACAGGTGCAAGCCACCACAGCTGGCTAATTTTACAATTTTTATTTTGTAAAGACAAGGTCTCACTATATTTTACCCAATCTGGTCTCAAACTCCTGGGCTCAAGGGATCCTCCCACCTCAGCCTCTCAAAGTGCTGGAATGACCATCATGAGCCATCCTGCCCACTGAATCTTGAAGAACAACTGGCACAGGAGGCACTCCACAATTACTTACTGAATGAATGAATGTTGTTTCATCTTACTCAACGTAAAGCATTATGGTTATTTTACACCTAAAACTCAAATCAAAATAATATTTCACTTTTATAAGATAATATTTTCTGTAATATTTCATGTATTTTCATGATCTAATGAAATTTTCTAATGCTCTAAATAGCATCTCTATGCCCTCTATTGTTTTTTCACCGCAACAAGTATTTAATGTGACTCCAAAATCAACACCTACGAAGTTTAACTCTGCTCTCTACCCACCCTAATACTTCATTAGAGAATCTTTGGACCAAAGAGAACAAGGTAACCATTTTAGATAAAGGGGTATGCCAACTACAAATTGAAATACTGCTTCAGCGAAACATACATGAAGAAAAACAGAAGGAATCTATTCCATACTTAACGAAAAACTCCAAGTCCTGCTAATAAAACAAAAATAGGCAAAAATAGGAAAAAAAGTGACTGATGTTACTGGAAAAACAGATAACACATGACAACTCTAAGGAAGTCGGCATTTTTTAGAAATTACTATCACTAGCATACTCATAGAGACTAGGTCTTGCCAAACTGCATGTGACATAAAATGTTTGGTAAAAGCTCCTGGAATCTGTTTATCCAACTGGCCACTGCACTTTGGGTTTCTTTTGAGCAACCTACCACTATTTTCAGAATCACGCTTTCAGGCTACTTGTGTCACAGATAGGATGATCTTTCCCTGGCATTTTAGGCTTTTTTTATTTTTATTTTTTGAGACAGAGTCTCATTCTGTCACCCAGGTGCGATAGCTCACCGCAACCTCTGCCTCCCAAGTTCAAGCGATTCTCTTGCCTCAGCCTCCCAAGTAGCTGGGATTACAAGTGCACACCACCACATCCAGCTAATTTTTGTATTTTTTAGTAGAGATGGGGTTTCGCTATGTTGGCCAGGTTGGTCTTGAACTCCTGACCTCAGGTGATCTGCCCACCTTGGCCTCCCAAAGTGCTGGAATTACCATGCCCGGCTGCATTTTAGGCTTTAAAAGCATACAGGAAACTGGTACTGCAAGCTTAGCCATGCCATTACTGACCTGATTAAAATTTTTGATACAAATTGTAAATCAGGCAAGATGCAACTTCAAAAGTTCAACTACTATAAAAAATATTTACTGTTACTATGAATCTATTTCAACACCAATGAAGACTGAAGTAAGACCTAACTGTTGCCTTGCCAAATCCATTTCTCAATATAAATGCCATGTAAAATTACACAATGGATTTACTCTAACCCTTTTTACACGGGAGTTACAAAAAGAAGCCTTTAAACCCCTCTAGGGATAAATTTACTTTTCTCAGCCAAGTGTTAACAGCAATAAATGGAGGATTTACATGTAATCCCTAAAAGCAAATAGGCAGAAATTACCAACCATGCTGTGACTTTTTAACTAAGCATTTTATTTAATCCCACTTATATAACAGGGCAATTTAAAGGGTGCCAGTTTATAAACAGGAGATGCAAATGCAAAATAGTGTCCCTCCTATTTTAAAGCTAATTTTCTAGGATTGTATATTCAAACAAATGTGGGTTGTTGTTTTTTTTTTCAGAGTACTCACTAGGAATGACTAAATAAACACCTATTCAGTCAACACTGCCATTTCTTAAAAATAATAGGTATCTGAGAACTTTTTTCAAAGTCAATGTATAAGTGATGTCCTTTCTAAATAGATACCAATGAACATTACACTAAAAAAACGGATGTTTTCATAGGCAAATAACAGCATAATAAATGAGCTACATGGTAAGACTCTCTTTGTTGTTAACTGCTGACTGGTGGCCCACCATCCTAGAACTGTATTTCTAGAATTCCATCAGCATCTAGTTAATAAGATCTATTTCTCTGGTAAGCATCCTTTAGAAAAATGAATCAGACTTTATTAAAGACAGAATTGATATGATTACAAGCCACAATAGCTAGTTTATGATTTGTAAGACTATGTTATTGATAGCACAAATTAAAAGAGATATTCCATTTAGAAAAAGAGATCCCTTTACCCAAACATTATACTCTAAAAATAAAACCAACAATTCTTCACACACAAACAAAATCAAGGTGGGAATATACAAGGCTTCAATTGATCACAGAAAAATGACATAGCCAGAAGATCAATAAGGAAATGCATTTCATAGAATTAACAGTTAATGTTTATAATGAAGTTCGATCAAGTGGTTAAAGTCTATAGGACCACTTAAAAATTTAAAAAGCAGAAAACAAAAAAAATCTCATCACAGGGTCAAACAAGTTTCAGATGTTCTAAACTTGTTTTCATTAGTCAGTAATATTCTAGTCTCCCAAATACTAGGCCAAATGGCTGATGTCACTTACCTTCTCGTATTCCAACCTCGCTGAAAAATCAGAAGGAATCTGCTTACAAATCAATCTGCGCCTTGAGCAGAGTTCTGCTACCTCTAAATAAAACCCTTTTAATTTCTTATCTCACAACTCATAAGAGTTCAGCAAAAATAAGAAAAAAAACTACTAGCCAAATATAAATAACCACTATTCACATTCTGATGTAGTAAAAACGGTCACTTGTTAAAGCTTCTTTTCTTCAAGACATTCTCCTTTTTTACCCCTCTTCCTCCCATGTATTTCCCTCCTAAATATTTCAGTATTATTCAGATAATCAGTTCACCCTAGTCAAGAAAACGACCTTCCGAGGAAGCTGAGCACAATGGTATTCTGGAATAAAATCCCACTGGGCTCTGATTAGAAGTGCAACACTCCTGCCTATGTACAACCTGTCACATCTGCCACCAGCCTGGAGGCCTGGACTACCATAGAACCTGCTTCCAGTGTTCGAGGCCTCCTGCAAAACATCACTTACTGTGCCAGGCATATGACTTCTCTCATTCTTCCCATTTTGAGAGCTGCCATTTTTTAGTTTCTTTTTCTTTTTTGCTGTTTCTTTGTGCTCTTTCTGTTTGTTTTGTACTTCAATAAGAACAGAAATAAAGCTGTTTTTCACTTCCTTTTCAAACTCCAGTTCATCTCGTAAGGCCAACTGCTGCACCAGCTCCTCCGAGTACTCCTTAATGGCAGTCTCAATCTCTTCCAGGAGTTCATTTAACTCGGACACTGAGAGCCTTTTTATTCCTAGGACCAAAAACAAAATACAGCAGATATTAAGACAAAAACATTTCAAGGATGCAAAACAGAGTAGTCACTAGCAATGACTAAATAAATACCTATGAAATAAATGTCAAAGAAAAAAATTCATATTCCAAGCAATTAAATTGACTATCTGTGATCTTCTCAGAATTCTAAATTTCTGGAGGGCAGGTCTGAGTAGAGGTAAGTGGGCAGGTGAGTCACTTCTCAGCTTGCTGGGAGGAAAGTCTTAACAAAAGTTTTTACTTGTGCAAATCAATCATTCCTGGAACAGTACTTGAGTCAAGACTGTGAAAGCTTGTACACGGAAAAGAACAAACACAAAAGCAGAGGGAAAGTACAGAAACCACCTGCTGAGCAGAAACTGCAAGCCATTCGGCAGGGTTCTGGGATACCTCTGAAAAGGAAAGAAGTTCATCTGAAAGAATTAAACTAAATACATATTTAATTACATAAGCCCCGATCTGTGAATTGTGTAGAAAATTGGTGATATGGCTTGCATCTGTGTCCCCACTCAAATCTCATGTTGAAATTGTAATCGTCAATATTGGAAGTGGGGGTGGGAGGTGATTGGATCATGAGGGCAATTTATTTATTTATTTTTTTTTTTGAGGTGGAGTCTCACTCTGTCACCCAGGCTGGAGTGCAATGGCGCAATCTAAGCTCACTGCAACCTCCGCCTCCCAGATTCAAGAGATTTTCCTGCCTCAACCTCCCCAGTAGCTGGGACTACAAGTGCATACCACCACACCCAGCTAATTTTTGTATTTTTAGTAGAGAGAGGGTTTTGCCATGTTGGCCTAGATGGTCTCGATCTCCTGACCTCATAATCCACCTGCCTCGGCCTCCCAAAGTGCTGGCTTACAGGCGTGAGCCACCACGCCCAGTCATGAGGGCAATTTCTAATGGTTTAGTACCATCCCCCTGGTGCTGTTCTCATGATACCTGGTTACTTAAACGTATGTGGCACCTCCCCCGCCCCCTTCCTCCTGCTCCAGCCATGAGAAGACGCCTGCTCCAGCTTTGCCTCCCACCCTGAGTAAAAGCTCCCTGAGGCCTCTCCAGAAGCAGATGCTGCCAGACTTCCTGTACACCCTGCAGAACAGTTAGCAAATTAAACTTCCTCGTATAAATTACACAGTTTCAGCCATTTCTTTCTAGCAGTGCAAGAATGGACTAATACAACTGGGAAGGCAAAAGGGAACAATATTCCCCGAAACCCCTTCCAGGCTTCTGTCAGCACTTCTCCTGTGAGACAGGACACTGTTAAAAGTCCCAGCCCACAGGACCACAGAATGTGGACATGGGGTCTTTAAAGAGGTAAATTAAGGTTAAATGAAGACATCAGGATGCGCCCTAACCCAGTATGACTGGTATTCTCATAAAATGGGGTGATCAGGACACAGAAGAAAGATCCACGTGAAGACATACAGAGAAGGCAGCCATCTATCTGCATGTCAAGGAGAGAGGCCTCTGAAAAAAACCAAACCTGCCAACACCTTGATCTCAGACTCTGGCCTCCAGAACTGTGAGAATATAAACTCCTGTTGTTTGCCACCCAGTCTGTGGTACTTTGTTCTGGCAGCACTAGCAAACCAATACAGATTTTACTATCTGTATCAGGTAGCAGGAGTGTATTTGGGAGTCAGGATCCCAGCACCGTTTAGCTCGTATCTATAGCAGTGTGGTCAAATCAGACCATCTGAAAGAATTTGGTCTGTCTGATTGTCCATATGTTGAAGCAATAAAATCCAAAGGTCTATACTAAGCTTCAGACTGTGCATGCCATAAAGATAAAACTAGGTGACAACACAGGTTGAGCAGACACAGATCTCATCATTGCCTATTCAAGGAGGGGACCAGTCATATGGCAGTGATTAGATGTCTACCTTCGAACTAGCCTCAGGCTTTTCACAGGCTGGTGTTATTCAGAAATCAACTGTAGAGTTTCTAGAGTTCATTTTTCTCATATACGTCAAACAGATCCATGGTTCCCAAAAATCTTCATAGTAACACACAAGACTATTTGTATAGACAGGAATTATGTTTGACAAAGAATTACTGAATATTGATTCTACACTTCAAATATGATGAGGTTTGTTAGAGATTCAATTGTGTCCTCTGCAAAATTCATGTGTTCTAACCCCTAGTACCTCAGAATGTTACAGTATTTGGATATGGTCTTTAAAGAGGTAATCATGTTAAAATAAGGTCATTAGGATAGAATTCAATATGATTGCTGTCCTTATAAGAGGAAATTTGGGGCCAGGCGCAGTGGCTCACGCCTGTAATCCCAGCACTTTGGGAGGCAGAGGTGGGCAGATCATGAGGTCAGGAGTTCGAGACCAACCTGGCCAACATGGCAAACCCCCGTCTCTACTAAAAATACAAAAATTAGGCCGGGCGCGGTGGCTCAAGCCTGTAATCCCAGCACTTTGGGAGGCCGAGACGGGTGGATCACGAGGTCAACAGATCGAGACCATCCTGGTCAACATGGTGAAACCCCGTCTTTACTAAAAATACAAAAAATTAGCTGGGCATGGTGGCGCATGCCTGTAATCCCAGCTACTCAGGAGGCTGAGGCAGGAGAATTGGCTGAACCCAGGAGGCGGAGGTTGCAGTGAGCCGAGATCGCACCATTGCACTCCAGCCTGGATAACAAGAGCGAAACTCAGTCTCAAAAAAAAAAAAAAAAAAAAATTAGCTGGGCGTGGTGGCAGGCGCCTGTAATCCTAGCTACTCAAGAGGCTGAGGCAGAAGAATCGCTTGAACCCAGGGGCAGAGGTTGCATTGAGCCGAGATCACGCCACTTCACTCCATCCTGAGCAAAAGAGCAAAACTCCATCTCAAAAAAGGAAAAGAGAAAATTTAGGCATAGACACAAAGAGAAGGAGGCTGAAATTAAAGCTTTCTGGAGAAGATCACACTATATATTTGATACAGATGAAAAGCACACAAATCATTGATTTAAGCAAACTCCCTTACTCTCTTCATAACTGCTGGTACTAGACCTCTTAAGAGTTTGAATTTCCTGGGAAAGCATTGAAAGCCGATCTGACTGTGTAGGGGTTTCATCATCTTCTGGGTCCGGTGATTCCTGCATCATTTCTTCAATTTCTTCAATAACCTTTGAAAACATGCATACAACTGTTAATCAAATATACAAAAGGAAAATGATCTATCTGGAACATGGCGTTCACCTAGGGCACCCAGAGTAGAAATGCACTAAATTCTCCATTAACCAGTGGTTTCCAGGTATGGGTGTTCTAAATAATCACAATTTTGATTGTAGGAGCAAACATGGTTTATCAAGAAAAAAATTACAATATACTAAACACAGACCTAAACAGAATTTGATTTACTATGTCCACTGTGATTCAGTAGGCCCTCCCAGGTCTTGCACAGTCTAAGAAATGGTGCCACAAACACATGATAATTTACTTCAGACATGCCAGAACCAGATCATAAAGTAATCGTTAGAAGAAAGCGAGTAACAGAAAATTTACCACAGACATGCAAGTCCTCAAAGTAAAGGTATTTCATCAAAAATTCTAACACAAAATTTAGAAAATACGATAGCACAAAAACTATATGTAAACAAGAAATTACCTTTACGACAGCAAAATATTCTTTTAACAGGAGGAAAAGAATAGTATATATTGATTCATTGAAAAATAAGGGGATTTTTAAAATTACTTAAAAAGTAAAAGTCCAGAGAAAAATGCTACGAAAGCAGAAAAACTTCAGAAATACATTTGCCTTTAAACAATGATCTACTGTCTAATGCAGGGCTGCTCAAATCTTACGACAGTATCTTGCCTGTTCCAGATTCTACAAGTTGAGAAGTATATAAAACTCAGCAAAAATGTAAAGGAAAGCCAGGAAAATTACTCAATGGTTAGAAAAGAAGGATATAAAGTTAAAAAAAAAAAAAAATTAAATACAATTAAATGAAGGAACAAAACATCCTGAGCCTATTTACCATGCTTTATGAAGTAACAAGCTTAACAGGTGACATTTCCACCAAGGAAAAACAAAGGTAAATCTGAAGGAGACGGGATTATGTTAATTATAAGAAGAGTCTCCAAAACAGGCAATATTAAATGATACAATGAGCCACTCAAGGCTCCTACAGAATCTGTTATTCTAACTCTTAAAACCAGGGAGACTTTAAGGAATTAGGCAGGTCAATGAGAGGACAATGAATGCTCAAGGTCATGTCTATCCTGAGACTACCCTCTACCTCAAAACAGCCCTCCAACCTACCATTACCTTGCTTCTTTAAGCACTGCATTCTTTCCAGGCCTAGAACAATTCAACCACAAATATGACTAAGGAGCATCGAAATAACACAATTTTAACGTAAATTTTTAATGTCCTCCTCCCAAGCTTGCCATAATATATCTCCTTACTGACCTCGTCTTTCCAGCCTAAAAATAGGGTATGGTAGAATTCACAGTCCAAGTAGCCATGGAACATTTTATTTCAGGAAGAAGTTCTGGCATCACATTTCAACAATGCAACAGGGGTGGGAAGAGCATTCAGAAAATGAGAAAGCTGATTCGACTGGTTTTAAGTGAATACAGGGTTGACCTTATTGGAGCATTCCACAGGAATAATGCTCACTTCTTTCTGGGGCACACAATATGTACTCTAACACATGCTAATGCTTTTTACCCAGGGTTTTAAAGATACTAAATAATTTCTACACAGATACTTCACAGTTTTTCCATACTTGGGTAAATCTAAAGAAATAAGGAAATTCACAATATTTTTCTGGTTTGGGGTTAAGCAATAACCCTTCCTTGGTAACTTGCTATACACTTCAACAATGTCTATGCTGGAAATCTTCCCAACTAACATTAATCCCTTCTGCTTCAGATGCCATCACTTTCCTCTGTGGAAGAGTTAACTATTAAGCCTGTATAACCAGAAAAAATAGGAAAGATAAGTAAACCAACAGCCATTATTTAGTGTCATAATAAGAAGCTGTTTTTCAGCTCTGCAGTCTCCTTCCCTTGCGCCTATGAGTATCTCCTCTGTACCTGGTCTGCCGTGAAGAGGGGTTCATCATTCACACAGGAGACAATGATTGAATGCATATCCAGCTGCTCTCTCAGCTCCTCATCATCTGATGCATCAAAGAGCAAACTGTCACTTACCTAAAAACGAAAATGCCCACCATTAAACACAGGACATCCTGATCAAAACCAAGTTAACAGCTCTGAGTAAAGGAGGCTGCAGAGAAAAGCATCTACTGAGAGCTTCCCTCGAGAGGGAGAAATTATTACAGTCACTCTGTACCAAGCAGTGAGTACATGTTCATCTGGAACAGAAATGAGAAGAATGTATAATAAATATGAAATTGCTGAGATGCTGCATACATCCCCTATTGCCTGAGATAGATACAAACTCAGCTATTTTTTTCCAAGGAGAAGACTGCTATAAAAGCTGACAGATATGCAGAAAAAAATAGGGTATTCATTAGCAAGTCATAGAGAATAACTGTGAGTAGAAGGAAGAATAGGAGCAAGTTTGGCAACAAACAATAAGATTGGTAGAAGTTAACATTGTAAAGAAAACATAAAAGTTACTTGCAAACTAACTGCTAATATATATATATATATTTTTTTGAGACAGAGTCTCGCCCTGTTCCCCAGGCTAGAGTGCAGTGGCGCTATCTCAGCTCACTGCAACCTCCACCTTCCAGGTTCAAGTAATTTTCCTGCCTCAGCCTCTCATGTAGCTGGGATTACAGGCGGCTGCCACCATGTCTAGCTAATTTTTTTGTATTTTTAGTAGAAACGAGGTTTCACAATGTTGGTCAGGTTGGTCTAGAACTCTTGACCTCAGATGATCCACTTGGCCTCTCAAAGTGCTGGGATTACAGGCGTGAGCCACTGTGCCCAGCCCACACATTTCTTCTTAACAAAAAAATAATAACCCTAGGTTCCAAGAACCTCTTTAAACCTAACTGAGCTGGCAGTTCACCTCTCACCTCACCACCATCTTCCACCCTGCTCTGTGCTCCAGGAGGATCACCTTTATGGAGGACATCAAAGGATGTTCTTGATGTCTGGCTTCCAGATGGGTTAAACCCCACTGGCAGACACTGGGAGACTGGAGGGTGGGATGGCGAGGGCTGCGCATGTATTCTCCTGTCTTCCTCCCTGTCAGACTGTTTCTAGTTGACTATGGCTCTTCACCAAAAGCCACCGCTCTGGTTAGCAGACCTCTCCCACACAGCCAATCTCAACAGTTTCTGGTAATCTCTCCCTGTCCTTACCTCTTCATGCCCAGGACTGCTAAAGTACCAGTTTCTGTTGCCAGCCCTAGGGGATTACACCATGCCTAGTTAGCTTCCCTTAACCCTGCCCATACCAATATAAACAGCCCCCTTAATAATGACTTAGAGTTTAGCACCAGTACTGACTGTAAAAACCTTGCCTGAAAAAACTCAGCAGATTGAAATGAACAAGTGAACCTCCGTCTATCATCTACCTATCTGTCATGACATGACATTCCGGTGTTGAATGGAACTGAAATTAGAACTCTATTCCCCAGGCCAGCTAAGGTGGCTCATGCCTATAATCCCAGCACTTCAGGAGTCCAAGGTGGGCGGATCAAGATGTCAGGAATTTGAGACCAGCCTGGCCAACATAGTGAAACCCTGTCTCTATTAAAAATAAAAATAAATAGCTTGGCGTGGTGGCAGGTGCCTGCAATCCCAGCTACTTGGGAGGCTGAGGCAGGAGAATCACTTGAACCCAGGAGGCAGAGGTTGCAGTGAGCCCAGATCACGCCACTGCACGCCAGCTAGGGCAATGGTGTGAGACTCCGTCTCAAAAAAAAAAACAAAAAAAAAGAACTCTATTCCTCAGCACACACTGAGTTTCCTAAGAATAAACGTACAACAAGGATTATGTAAGAAGCCCCCATGCCATTCTATTACATAGCATATAACTAAAATGATAAAATTTTGCCTGGCAAAATAATTTCATTTACTCATGCAGAGGATATATATCTGAAGCTGAGGACAAATGCAGTGGAACTAGGTCCCTACTGCTTCCCTAGTTCTGTATAACATGAGTATCTGGAGTTTGCAGGTGAACACAGACCACAGAGTAAGAAACCTGCAGGTGAGAAGAGCCGAGGAAAGAAACACTGGCGTGTCGACTTTCCAACATTAGGCAGGTAGAAGGCCCATCGGCACTGCAGGGTCCACCCACACTCCTAAAGCACAACTCCAGGCTGCTGCATGGTGAAGACATCCTTCTTACTTTATTTCTTACTGCACCATCAGCCTAGCAAAGGCCTGGCCATGGCCTTCAACACAGCATCATGAACTCAGAACACTGTGGAAAAAAGAAGAATCTAAAAGCTTCCAAGAAAGAAAAAAAAGAGCACATCATATTAACAGGATCAGGAATCAAAGTGTCATGTGAATTCTCAACAGCAACAATAGATGCTACAAAATAATCAATGCAATTTCCAGGTTGGGAGAAATTCCATCCTAGAATCTTATATCCAGCTAAAACACAAGTAGGCAGGGGCTTAGGAAAAAGACAGTTTCAGACATACAAGTTCTCAAAAAATTTACTCTCATGTGCCCTTTCTCAAAAAGCTACCAGGAGGAAAATGAAAAAGAAAAAAAGACATGTGGTCTAATATCAAGTGACAGGCAAAGAGAATTCTCATCATGATCGTAAAGTGAAAATCCCAGGATGATGACTGTAAAGCTAAACTAGAGAGCAACCGTTCAGATTAGAACTGTTCCCGCACTTTGGGAGGCCAAGGCGGGTGGATCACGAGGTCAACAGATCGAGACCATCCTGGTCAACATGGTGAAACCCCGTCTCTACTAAAAATACAAAAAATGAGCTGGGCATGGTGGCGCGTGCCTGTAATCCCAGGTACTCGGGAGGCTGAGGCAGGAGAATTGCCTGAACCCAGGAGGCAGAGGTTGCGGTGAGCCGAGATCGCGCCATTGCACTCCAGCCTGGGTAACAAGAGCGAAACTCCGTCTCAAAAAAAAAAAAAGAATTGTTACCGCAGAGAGCATGGAGAAGAGAGAGAGGAGGGTGGGGAGGGGAGCAGGAGGACTAGATAGATTACCTAGTGCAGTCCATTTGCTAAATGAGTTCTATGGCTCTACTGAGGCTGAATTGGTCAGCTAATTATAAACTAAATAAATCACAAAAAGGCAGTTATTATCCTAAGAAAAAACCTAAGTAGAAAAAAATTAAACATAGTATATCAAAATGGGTCAACTGTGCACATTTAAATAGTAAATATAAATGATGAAGATTAAATCAACCCCAGATGTTGATGTCATATACAGGGAAGATGGGGGAAGGAAAGTTTTGGGGAGCGTCTGGTGTCAGGGGTTGGCAAAGGGCAGTTAGAAAGCTAAACCTTCACTCTCTGGGAGGAAAGTAAATAAATAAAGTCTAAAATTGAGAAAATAATATCAAGTAAAACGGCATGAGCATGTTATCTGCTAGAAGAAATAGCTGATATAATTTAAAGTGGCCAGTTACCTCTGGTAAGGAGAAATCAAGGATGAAGTAAGTGGAGCAGAGACTGCCATTTCATTTAAGTCCTATAGCTCTAATTTACTTTTTAAACTATGATATCTGTCCCTTTAATAATTTAATTTTTAAAAGAAGAAAGATCAAGAAACTAGGCTCTCGATGAGAGGGATGTATGATTTCAAAATCATAGAACATGAAAAAGTGGCACAATGTGATTTCAAGGGCATGTCAATGGCACAGAGTAGACCTGCCGATTAGCTTCATCCATCCTTCCACTTTAAACACTCCAAACCCCCTTCCCAGTCACTCTTCCTGTGTTGCAGCTTGAAGACAATAGTTCTGTTTTATTTTTCCCCTTCTGGCTTATAAATACTAGAAGTTTTAATTTTAAAATTAATCCAGGCTGGCACAGTGGCTCATGCCTGTAATCCCAGCACTTTGGGAGGCTTAGGCGGGTAGATTCTTTGAGCTCAGGAGTTTGAGACCAGCCTCAGCAACATGGTGAAAAAATTACACCTCTACAAAAAATACAAAAAATTAGCCAGGAGTGATGGTGTACATCTGTAGTCCCAGCTATTTGGGAGGTTGAGGTAGGAGAACTGCTTGAGCCCAGGAAGCAGAAGTTGCAGTGAGCCGAGATGGCGCCACCACACAACAGCCTGGGCAACAGAGCCAGACCATGTCTCAAAAAAAAAAGGAAACAATTACTCCTAAGGAAGCCTAGGTTGTCACGGCTCACACCTGTAATACCAACACTTTGGGAGGACAAGATGGAAGAATCTCTTGAGGTCAGGAAATCAAGAACAGCCTGGGCAACACAGTAAGACCTTGTCTCTACGAAAATATTTTTTCTTAAAATTAGCCAGGCATGGCACTGCTCATGTGTTGTCCTAGCTACTTAGGAAGCTGGAGTGGGAAGATTGCTTAAGCCCAGGAGTTGGAGGCTGCAGTCAGCTATGATGGTGCCACTGTACTCCAGGCTGGGCAACACAGGGAGACACTCTCTCAATCTATCTATCAATCAATCAATCAATCAATCAAATTGCTTCTATAAAAGAGATTATTATATTTTTCTTATTTCTGCTCTTAAAGGTATAAAGATGCACACAAAAGTCCCTGTCATCAAGGAAATGCACATGGAAGGAAAAATACAGCACAGAAGATGTTCTTAAGCTGAAATGAATGAGAAGCATTTTATCATATAAGCATATTCAAGAATGGCACCAGATTTAAAATAGGTTTATGACCAAAACACATGAGCAATACCAGTAAACTATTATAATAAATTTCCATGACAACAGAGATGATCCCAGATCATCTTTCCAGAGAGAGAGCCAAGTCCATTCCCCACAGAGATGGCATATGCTAAGAGCTGGAATACCTTTCAGGCTTTGCAAACTAGCCCTGGCTGTCATGGGTATCATTATTCACTCTCCCATTCGGCATAAATGTGTCTTCTCTTTGCCAAGCATTCCCATCGCTCCTTCCTATGCCATGGTTAGATACAGACCTGGTGGTACTGTTTCCCTGTATAAAACTGAAGATACATCAAATGGAAAAAATGTGCCCATGTAAGAATTTGAGATACCAGTTGCCTTACTCTAAAAAAGACCTATCAAATTTAGCAGTGTGCCATCTTAATCTTCAATCAAAGAAAAATTTTAAACTGCAATCTAGCAAACTAGTTTTCCTGAATGTTTTTCTCATTTTAATGCAAAAAAAAAAAAAATTCTTTTGTCAAAAACAATTTTCTATAGACTTTGTTTTTTAAGTAAAATAATCTAAAGAATGCTTTTGGCCGGGTGTGGTGGCTCATGCCTGTAATCCCAGCACTTTGGGAGGTGGAGGTGGGCAGATCACGAGGTCAGGAATTCAAAACCAGCCTGGTCAACATGGTGAAACCCCGTCTTACTAAAAATACAAAACAATTAGCTGGGCATGGTGGGGCATGCTTGTAATCCCAGCTACTTGGGGGGCTGAGGAAGGAGAACTGTTTGAACCCAGGAGGTGGAGGCTGCAGTGACCCGAGACTGTCCTACTGCACACCACCCTGGGCAACAGAGCAAGACTCTGTCTTTAAAAAAAAAAAAAAAAAAGAATGTTTTCGAAACGTAAATTTTATATAGCTTAGTCACGGAAAGAACAGAGCACCCAGGGGGCAATGGTAAATACAATAACTTACCCAGGTTAAAAAAAGGTTTAATTATATACTGTGTAATAGAATGATGTGGTGGCTTCTTACATAGTCCTTGTTGTCCGTTTTTCAGAAACTCAATGTATGCTAATCCTTCCTGAGAAACAGGGTTCTAATTTCAAATCTATTCATCACCAGAACAGTCATATCACAACAGAGAGGTGATAAGTGACTGATAAAGTGTTCACTTTCATCTGCTGAGTTTTTCCAGCTAAGGCTTTTTAATGTCAGTACTAGCATTAAACTCTACGCCATTACTAATCACTATCTTGGCAATGTCATTACCCTGGCATTGAAAATAACATTCAAAAGCCAACAAAAGGGAGCTAATTCCCAAAATGCAATCTAAGAACAATACAAGACGTACAGCCAATCCCTCAGTATCCATGGGAAATTGGTTCCAGGATGCCCCAATACCAAAATCTGCTGATGCTCAAGTCCCTTATATAAAATGGGGTAGTATTTGCATATAACCTCATATCCTCCTGTAAGCTTTAAATTACATGCAAATTACTTATAATTACCTAAACAACGTAAACAGTTTGTAGCTGTTGTATTGGTTTTTCATTATTATTTTTTATTGTTGTGTTTTTATTTTATTGTGGGGTTTTTTTTCAAGTTTTTTAATCCACGGTTGGCTAAAGCAGCAGATGTGAAACCAGAGAATATAGTGGGCCCACTATATATTTCAGTCAATGAAACTGGATTAAAGTGTCTCATTCATGCTGCTAATGTGCCTGTCTTTGAAACTATGAATGAAAACTCTTCTATGCTATTTTTTAGAATGTCAAAAAAAAAAGTACCCATGGACTGGTTTTGGTGCATTCAGCAGTATTTTAAATAATATCGAAAATATTTTTTAAAAAACCTTTCCCATCACAATCTCTGGCCCTACAGTTTCAATGGTACTCATTTCTTCACTCAACAGTGAACAGGTGTCTGCATACTTACTATGTGCCAGGAACAGTGTCATTACTATAAAGACAAATACAAATACCTGCTGGGAAGTCACAATCTAGTGACAGACTCAGAACTATGATTAACAAGAGAAGGCAGTGGTAATTTTAGAGACATGGACAAAGGGCTCCAGGGACAAGAGCCCCTGAGACAACAAGGCTAAACCCCATGGCACAGATAACAAGTCGTTTCAAAGATCACATCCCCACTAGTGTCATCAGTTCCCACAGAGGGGAGTATGTTTTCCTTCCATGCAGGGATTTAGGCCATGGCTAAATAACCATCTGTCAGAGATGCTGGAGGTGGGGATTCCCCCCAAGTGAGAGGCTGGATTAAGTGTCCTTTAAAGCCCCTTCCAACTCTAAAACTGTATAATTCCATGAGATCAGCGAAGGCTAAAACAGTAATAGGAAGCTTCAGAGAGGAAGGGAAACTTGAACTAAGCCCAAAATCATAGTCAGGACCTAAATAAACATAATACAGAGCAAAAGATCCCTCATTTTGTTCCTTTTCATTAAATGTATGCCAGGTCAGTCTGCAAAGCTTAATGGGATTAATGACCGGCACCATCAGGAAGATTTCTACAGCTACTGAATACTGGGAAATACAGTAAGAATTCTACATTTTGCTAGAAAATAGTAACAGTAGGCTTCTCTGATCTCACATATAAGAAAATCCTTTTAACAAAACACTAACAGTGCTATTAAAAATACTGACAGGACTACTGCACTATACTCCCAATAATCACATAATTATATTTAATGAAATATAAAGCACACAAGAAGATCTGGCATGAGTTTACATTATTATTTGATAAAGAACTTAAACAGCCTGGCCCTGAAACTTAGATCATTTGACTATGTTTCCCATGAACTTTAAACAAACTTAACAGTGTGATTTTCCACTTCAAGTAATTCTCTGCCCTTTTCTGCCCCCATACCTGTCCCATCACTTGTGCTCCACTTCGTAGTCAAGGCATCTTCACTTTGCAATACCAGGACATACACAGGGGCCCCCAAGAAAGGTAAGTTAGCCAAAAAGACAAGAACTAAAATATCTTTTTTTTTTTTTTGGAGATGGAGTCTTACTCTGTCGCCAGGCTGAAGTGCAGTGTTGCAAACTCAGGTCACTACAACCTCCACTTCCCGGGTGCATACAATTCTCCTGCCTCAGCCTCCCAAGTAGCTGGGACTACAGGCGCATGCCGCCATGCCTGGCTACTTTTTGTATTTCTAGTAAAGAAGGGGTTTCACCATGTTGGCCAGGATGGTCTCCATCTCCTGACCTCGTGATCCACCTGACTTGGCCTCCCAAAGTGCTGGGATTATAGGCATGAGCCACTGCACCCGGCCTTAAAAAGCTAAGAACTAAAATATCTTTTAAAGGTTCTCATTAAAATGTTAACTCCATGTTGAGATTCCAATACCCTCAGTATATTAAACCAAAGGCTAGCATTTTTACTGAGTGTTTCAGTGCATCAAAATTTTACTGAGTCTTTTAGTCCATCGTCACTGCCAGGTGCAGTGGCTCATGCCTGTAATCCCAACACTTTGGAGGCTGAGGTGGATCACCTGAGGTCAGGAGTCCGAGACCAGCATGGCCAACACAGCCAAATCCTGCCTCTACTAAATATATAAAACTTTGCCGGGCGTGGTAGTGCATGCCTGTAATCCCAACGCTCTGCCTCCCGGGTTCAAGCGATTCTCCCACCCGGAAGTTGAGGTGGGAGAGTTGCTTGAACCCGGGAGGCAGTGGTTGCAGTCAGCTGAGATCACTCTACTGTACTGCAGCCAGGGCGACAGAGCAAGACTCCATCTCAAAAAAAAAGAAAAAAAATTGTGATGGAAATTTAGCTACACATACAAAAGTAAGTGTGCTGGAGAAGAATTGGAGGAATGTGCCGGCAAGGTGACAGCCCCAGAGCCAAGAGAGTAAGACAGAGCCTTCCCAACTGATGTAAGTTTGGAAATAAGGGGCAGGTCAATGAATCTGTGTTAAGCAAAAATGCTACTATTTTAGTTCTATTATCAGCATCAGTTATTCAAAAACCATTGATTCATTTCCTAACTTACCCCTTTTTCTGAGAGGTTCAGAGTAAGCAAGTGCAAGGTCCTAGTATGGGATGACTTCCAGTCTACAGGCATCACATTCCCATAATTATCTGTCAGGGCATTCCAAATCCTTAAAAAGAAGAAAATTACAATAAATGAAAATCAATACTCTATATGTCTTTCTTAAACAAATGTTTAGTGAAAGATGATCACCAAATGTCAAAGGAGAAAAGCAGAGAGCACATTATCTCAAAAAAAAATCAACAAAGTAGAGTTTCCTAAACAAAATTAAGTGAAAAATCACATAACTGGGCTGATAAGAAGTCCTAAGGGAAGGTGAAGGCGTACAGAAAACCCCCAAAGTCAATAGGCAACATTTCCATCGTATTAGGTGCTAGGTACCTTCTAAGAAATGTATATGTATTAACTCATTTAATCTTGAAAAACAACATTAGAAGGGGAAAACATTATTATCCCCATTTTACAGATGAAGAAACTGAAACACAGGGAGGATAAGAAACGTTTCCAGGGTCACGTGAGTAATAAATACAACTGTGTATTACATTTACTTTTCTTCTGTAGCTTCAAACAACAGACCATTTCAAAAAGTGAAAAATTCCTCTCTAACCAAAGGTTTGTTATCCTTTCTGGAGAAAGAATTTGCTCTCAATGTGAGAAGAGGATTTAATATCTAATTTATAATAAAGAAGCAAAAGACTAAGGCAGATAAAATGAAAAGGAGAAAGAGAGGGAGTTCACAATAAAATGCACACAGGCTCTAGCCAATGCAGTTAACTGAGCTTATTACCCGCCAGCATTACAGGGAGGCAAGAGGGTAAAATGGAAAGGGCATTGGAATAAGACTAGGGAAACAAACTCTCATCTCCATCCTTCTTCAAACAAAGAGCCACTGGCCAAGCCTCTTCACCTCTCTAAGTATCCACTGCCCTTCTATAAATGAGAGACCTGGATGAGAAGCAGACACTCCTTCCAGCTCCATTACTCCAAGCATTAATTAAAATAAGATGTATTGAAGAGAATCCCAAACCACACCAGATAAGAACACCAAACTCAAATTTCATGACCGAAATTCAGGTTTCAATACCAAAGTAACAATCAGCCTAATAAAACATGATGTTTTATGAAAAACTAGAGTTCAGAGACACAAGTGAGTTGAAATCTAAATGGGATAAATCAAACACTAAACATATTAGCTACTTACTAGCTAGAGGTATACACAAAGATGTCATGTAAAAAATGTATATTAGGTATATAATTGTGAATAAACAATAGGCTTTCTTTCCAAGTGTATAAGGAACTAGGATACAAAAATAATCCTGGTTGGGGCATAAACATAAGAATAATTTTTTTTTTTAAGTTCCAGGGTACATGTGGAGGAGGTGCACATTTGTTACATAGGCAAACATGTGCCATGGTGATTTGCTGCACCTATCAACCCATCACCTAGGTATTAAGCTCAAGAATGAAATGTTTTAAATAGAGATATAGCACAGTTAACAAATAGAGATTAGGCACTAAAAAGAAGAAGCAATAGGACTGCAACTGCCAAAAGCATAACATCCCAAATGATGTTTGGCTTTAAAATACACATTAGGAACGGGCCTGGTGGCTCATGCCTGTAATCCCAGCACTTTGGGAAGCCAAAGTGGGAGGACTGCTTAAAGCCAGGAGTTCAAGGCCAGCCTGGGCAACAAAAGGGAGACCCGCATCTCTATCCAAAAAAAAAAAAAATTTTTTTTTTAATTCACAGTCCCAGCTACTTAGGAGGCTAACACAGGAGGGTTGCTTAAGCCTGGGTGACAGAGCAAGACCCTACCTCTAAAAATGTATAAATGAAACAAAAAAAATAAAATGAGCCTCGATAAAAATGTGAACCCAAAAAGCTCTCAAAAACTAATTCATTGGCACAGCAAAACTCCCACAAGCATGGTCCATTCCTATTCTCCTCTCTGTTGGAATCATATCTCCTCTAATGCCAGTGAAGTAGAATTAGAGGCAATGTCTGTAGACTGCTAAACTTGCTGGGTTTCTGGCTCATACCTTCCTGGGTAAGAAATCTTCAAATACTGAATAACTGATTATATTAGTTCATTTTCATGTAGCTGATAAAGACATACCTGAACCTGGGCGGGGAAAAGGGGGTTTAATTGGACTTACAGTTCCTCATGGGTGGGGAGGCCTCAGAATCATGGCAGGAGGCAAAAGGCACTTCTTACATGGCAGCAGCAAGAGAAAATGAGGAAGACACAAAAGCAGAAACCCCTGATAAACCCATCAGATCTTGTGAGACTTATTCACTATCATGAGAATAGCACAGGAAAGACTGGCCCCATGATTCCATTACATCCCCCTAGGTCCCTCCCACAATGTGGGAATTCTGGGAGATACAATTCAAGTTGAGATTTGAGTGGGGACACAGCCAAACTGTATCATTCTGCCCCTGGCTCCCCTAAATCTTGTATCCTCACATTCCAAAACCAATTATGCCTTCCCAACAGTCTCCCAAAGTCTTAACTCATTTCAGCATGAACCCAAAAGTCTGTAGCCCAAAGTCTCATCTAAAACAGGGCAAGTCCCTTCTACCTATAAGCCTGTAAAACCAAAAGCAAGCTAGTTACTTCCTAGCTACAACGGAGATACAGATATTAGGTAAATATGGCTGTTCCAAATGAGAGAAATTGGCCAAAACAAAGGGGTTACAGGGCCCTTGCAAGTCCGAAATCCAGTGGGGCAGTCAAATTTTACAGCTCCAAAATGATCTCCTTTGACTCCAGGTCTCACATCTAGGTCACGCTGATGCAAAAGGTAGGTTCCCATGGTCTTAGGCAACTCCATCCCCACGGCTTTGCAGGGTACAGCCTCCCTCTCCACTGCGATCACAGGCTGGTGTTGAGTGTCTGTGGCTTTTCCAGGCACAAGTGGCTGTCAGTGCATCTACCATTCTGGGGTCTGGAGGAGAGTGGCTCTCTTCTCACAGCTCCACTAAGCAGTGCCTCAGTAGGGACTCTATGTGGTGGCTCCAACCCCACATTTCCCTTGCACGGTGCCCTAGCAGAGGTTCTCCATGAGGTCCCCACAGCAAACTTTTGCCTGGGCATTCAGGTATTTCCATACATCTTCTGAAATCTAGGAGGAGGTTCCCAAACCTCAATTCCTGACTTCTGTGCACCCACAGGCTCCACACCACATGGAAGCTCCCAAGGCTTAGGGCTTGCACCCTCTGAAGCCACAGCCTGAGATGTACATTGGCCCCTTTCAGCCATAGCTGGAGCAGCTGAGACACGGGGCACCAAGTCTCTAGACCGCACACAGCAGGTGGACTCTAGGCCCCATCCACAAAACCACTTTTTCATTCTTGGGCCTCCAGGCCTATGATGGAAGGAGCTGCCATGAAGGTCTGTGACATGGCCTGGAGACACTTTCCCCATGGTCATGGGGACTAACATTAGGTTCCTCGCTACTTACGCAAGTTTCTACAGCTGGCTTGAATTTCTCCCCAGAAAATGGGGTTTTTTTCCTATCACGTAGTCAGGTTGCAAATTTTCCAAACTTTTATGCTCTGCTTCCCTTATAAAACTGAATGCCTTTAATAGCATCCAAGTCACCTCTTGAATGCTTTGCTGCTTAGAAATTTTTTCTGCCAGATACCCTAACTCATCTTTCTCAGGTTCAAAGTTCCACAAATCTCTAGAGCAGGGGCAAAAATGCCACCAGTCTCTTTGCTAAAACATAGCAAGGGTCACCTTCGCTCCAGTTCCCAACAACTTCCTCATCTTCACCATTGGCCACCTCAACCTGAATTTTATGGTCCACAATGCTGTTGGCATTTTGGGAAAAGCCATTCGACAACATCTCTAGGACATTCTAAACTTTTTCACATTTTTCTGACTTCTGAGCCCTTCAAACTGTTCCAACCTCTGCCTGTTACCCAGTTCCAAATTGCTTCCACATTTTCAGGTATCATTTCAGCAATGCCCCACTCTCTTGGTACCAATTTACTGTATTAGTCCATTTTCATACAGCTGATAAAGACTTACCTGAGACTAGGAGAAAAAAGAGGTTTAATTGGACTTACAGTTCCACATGACTGGGGAGGCCTCAGAATCACAGTGGAGGTGAAAGGCACTTCTTGCATGGTAGCAGCAAGAGAAAATAAGGAAGCAGCAAAAGCAGAAACCCCTGATAAGCCCGTAAGATCTCGTAAGACTTTTTCTCTATCACGAGAATAGTACAGGAAGACCTCCCCCTGGATCCCTCCACAACACGTGGGAATTCTGGGAGATACAATTCAAGTTGAGATTTTGGTGGGGACACAGCCAAACCATATCACTGACTATAGACCTAATCCTGGTCAGGAACTTGAGTAGGATACACTAGCAGGTGAAGACAGTCCAGGGTTTAAGGATATTGCTCTGTCTGCTTATTTGCTCCTTCTTAAATGAGGCTGTAAGAAATATACAAGTGAAATGGAATACTTCACTTAGAAGTGCCTGTCGGTGAGTTTGATCTTCCAAGAAAACAAAAGCCAATTAACAGTCTCCACCAAGGTCAAAATGGAGTTGGAAGGACATATAAGCAACTCTAGTGAAAGATTTCTAGAATTCTGCAGTCAAGACATATGAACTGCCTCCATCTTTATCATAAAGTATTACAACCTGCCATAAACAGCAGGCAGGACAGCTCTTTTGCAAGGAGGTCAAAGTTCTGCCAACATTAAATCCTGCAGAATACTCTTCTAAAGTAAAACTTCAGTAGGTAAATACAATCCATATTTAACCAAAACTAAAGCTGAGGCTTAGAGAAGTTAAATGCCCTAAAGTAGTGGTCCCCATCCTTTTTGACACCAGGGACTGGTTTCATGGAAGACAATTTTTCCACAGACCAGGGGTTGGGGGAATGGTTTTGGGATGATTCAAGCACATTAAAATTTATTGTGTACTTTATTTCTATTATTATTACACTGTCATATACAATAATTATACAACTCACCATAATGTAGAAACATGGGAGCCCTGAGCTTGTTTTCCTGCAATGAGATGGTCCTATCTAAGAGTAAGGGGAGACAGTGACAGACCATCGGGCATTAGATTCTTGTAAGGTGTGTGCAAACTAGATCTCTCACAGGTGCAGTTCACAATAGGGTTTGCGCTCCTACGAGAATCTAACGCTGTGGCTGATCTGACAGGAGGCGGAGATCGGTGGTAATGCAAGCGATGGGGAGGAGCTGTAAATACAGATTAAATACAGATGAAGGTTTGCTCACTCACCCAGCCACTCACCTCCTGTTATGTGGCCCAGTTCCAGTACTGGTCTGGGGACTGGAGACCCCGTGACCTAAAGCACAGCAATATCTGAGTAAAACAATGATCAATTCTATCTAGTGAAAAGGGAGCTGGAACAGACTATCCAGCAAGGGTGAGTATGTTTCCGTCATATAAAAGGGCCAATGACAGTGGTGACCAGCTCCCAAGTCCTGAAAAAAGACAGAGATTTCTTATGCATTCTCAAGAAACATGCATTACCACCAACATAACATCTACCAAATACCATTAACAAGAGCAACAAAATATTTTTTTAAGCAAAGGCTAAAACAACCTACTTTCCTGACAGTCTCAGTAAAACAAAGACTCTTAACGTTCTATGTACAATCCTCTAATTGATTTAGTTTACTCTTGATAAACCAAAATACATAATAAATCTACACTAATATTTAAATCCAGAATGTGTCCTGGGTTTACTAATTCAGAGTATCTAAATCTACATACACATAAAATTATCTTCTCCTTGGGAACAGACTTCCAGAAATGTCATCGTTTGCTGCTGACTGCATCCACGTGTGTATAAAATCCATCATAAATTCTTCCCTCCTCTACATCTGAACAGTATTCAGAGCAACCACTGAAAGGAGATGGGTCTCCAAACTCGGGGGAATCTGCACCACTGCTAGGCCACATTTACAAACCCCACTCCCAAAGCTGTCTTTTCAAGCTTCCTACCTTACTCCTGATAAATCTGTTTCACAGAAGAAAGGAGACAATCAGGCTGGAAACTCCTTTCCATGCCCATGATTCCTGCCCTGCCTCTCAAAAATTCTTCCCCAGCGCTCTGAAAATCCATTCCTTCCCATGTCCTCATTTTTGAGACAAAGTCTCGCTCTGTCACCCAGGCTGGAGTGCAGTGGTGCGATGACGGCTCACTGCAACCCTCGCCTCCCTGACTCAAGCAATCCTCCCACCTCAGCCTCCTGAGCAGCTGGGTCTGTGGGACCACAGGCATGCGCCACCACACTCCACTAATCTTTTTAAATTTTGTAAAGACCAGGTATCACTATATTGCCCAGTCTGGTCTCGAAGTACAAGCCATCCTCGCACCACAGCCTCCCAAAGCACTAGGATCACAGGTGAGCCACCATGCCCAGTCTTATTCCACTCATTTTACCTTCAGCCTCTCCGGGGACTCCTCTTCCCCTACATACACAACATACTCAAGTCCCCTCACTCTCACCATTCCTATTTACCATCTTTTAGTGGTAAAACCATGGTATATAATCACAACTCTTATTTAACCAAATTATAATTGCGGCTCAAGGTGGTTTAAAAAGTGCCCACAGGAACTCTGAGCCTCCCTTCGCCCAGCTTTCATAAATCCCTGTCAACCTCCTATCATTGCACTTAGGTGATACTGTAATTATTAATAGTACCTGTGTACGCCCAGCATTCATAAATCCCCGTCAACCTCCTATCATTGCACTTAGGTGATCCTGTAACTATTAACATTACCTGTGTATGCGTTGGTCTCCCCACCAGACCATGCGATCGTTACCATTCATAAGCAGGGCCCTTGGTTTTCGCCTGTGGCAGCTCGCACTCTACCAAGGCTCTGGGATGGGTCCCACAGATTCCTGTGCCCTCAATGCTGTCTCACACGTTGGTACTTATGCACAGGCAATACACTCCACCTAGAATGTTAGACCTTTTTCCACCTGCAGGCACACTCCCACGCATCAGTCAGATCTCGTTTGCGCGTTTCTCTATGAAGTCTTTCCTGACTCTCCTCAAACACACGCTTTTACGTCTCCCACATTTGGTACCTACATCCATTGCAGCGCCAATTATACCCATACAAATATCGGTTTACAGATCTATCTCCCATCCTACGATGCGTCGTACTCGGGAGGGGCAATGCCCAGGCGTGTTGGTGTTCTCTGTGCGAGACAGCGCATGGGACTCAGCAGGTGCTTAATAAACGCGACTTGAGTGAATGAATGGTGACACACGTGCCCCAGGAAGTGCCGTCTCTACGGGCTCTGCACAGGAGATTCTCCTCTAAAGCAAACGAGGGTTGGGTTTGCAGGAAGGAGAGGGGAAGGGAGCAGAGGTGGAGGTTTTCGGGGCGCGTGGCGGGCGGGGAGCAGGGGATTTAAACCTCCTGGCGAGCCGAGGCCGACAGCCCGAGGAGGGAGGCGAGAGGGCGGGGACTCCCGCGTCCGTGGAGGCGGAAAGAGGGCGCTGGGAGGAGCTGTGGCCGGAGGGCCGGCGGGGAGGGCGAGGGGCAGGGGAGGCTCCCGCCCGCTCCCGGCCGGGGCCCGCACTCACTCGTCCCCTTGCAGGAGGCTGCGCTCCGTGATGGGCCGCACGGCCGCCCTCGGGGGCTCGGCGCCTGGATCCGAGGGGCGGAAGCACAGGCTCAGCTTCTCCTCCAAGCAGCAGGCCAGCGCCGGGAAGCCGTCGGCGCCCCCGCTCGCCCCCACACCCGCCCCCGCCCCCGCCCCTGCCCCTGCCCCTTCCCCGGCCTCGGGGCTCGCGTTACAGTTCTCCTGGTCCAGGAGGCTCCGGGCCGGCTCCTGGAACTCATAGAAATCCTGCCAGTCCCCGTCCGCCGCCATCGCCGCCCAGAGCAGTCGTGCGCCCCGCCCGGGCCTGCCCAGCCCGGCCCCGCCCCTGCCCGAAGCCCCGCCCCCGCCCGCCACCCGGCGGACAGATCCCACGCAGTCCCTGCCCCGGCACTCCCAGTGGTCTGAGCCTTCCTGGAGTCGAACGCGGTGCTCCTAGAAAGCAAGACAGTAACTGCTTTGAGTCACTTCCTGTATTCTCTATCATTTAGGAATAACTTCCCTCTTAGCTTCCCTTATTAGAAACCTGGCCTAAATGTGGCTAAAATAAAGAACTTTTTTTAACTTACGACCTAATATCAGATTATGCCCCCAAAGTCGTTTTCCCCAAGGTAACCTGCTCCTTTCATAACTTGCCAACCAGAAGATCAGCCAGAGTCACTGTTTAAGTGGTACCGAAATTCATTCCTCAGATATTTTGGCTCTCATGTGCAAAGCATGTGCTAGAGCCTGCAGAACACAAAAAGATAAATAATTATGTCAGTTAATATTTGCAAAGCACTTAGAACAATGCCTAATAGTAGATACCATAGTGTATGTTATAACTGATACATGGGTGCTCCATACACAGGGCTTACAATGTCAGAGTGATAAGAGTAATAAATTGTTTATGCCTCACAAAAACTAAGTGTGCTTGGGCAGTTCAGTTTTGCAAGATGAAAAGCGTTATGGAGATGGATGGCGGTGGTGATGGTTCCATTTACCTGTTATGGTGTGTCCACGTGTGAGTGAAAATGATTCCACAACAGAGTTAATGTGCTGAATGTCACTGATCTATATACTTACAAATGGTTAAGATGGTAATTTTATGTGTATTTTACTACAATACAAAAAAAATGGAGGAGGCCAGGCACGGTGGCTCACGCCTATAATCCCAGCACTTTGGGAGGCCGAGGTAGATGGATCGCTTGAGATCAGGAGTTCAAGACCAGCCTGGCCAACATGGTGTAACCCCATCACTAATAAAAATACAGAACTTAGCCAAACATGGTGGCACACACCTGTAATCCCAGCTACTGAGGAGGCTGTGGCAGGAGAATCCCTTGAACCTGGGAGGTAAAGGTTGCAGTGAGCCAAGATTGCACCACTGTACTCCAGCCCTGGCAACAGAGCAAGGCTCAGTCAAAGAAATTTTTTTTAAAGGGAGGAAAAAGTAAATATTATCATAAGGAAGTATGAATGTGGAGAGGCAATGAATTCTCAAGAGTTGAGAAGAGTGACTTCCTTGGACTGGCATGATCAAATACTTCACTTAGGAGGTGGGGCTAGTTAGGTGATGAAAGACAAGCTCATAGTTTGAAAAATAAATCTGAAGTTAGTAATAGAAAAGAAATTTTTTCCCAGTATGGTTTGTCCATCTCTTGGCAGCATCGAAACCCATTTTCATAAATATAAGTTAATACCAGCATTTTCTTGTTAGTCCAATAAATGTTGTGTTTTACTTCAGTGATTTGTCTTATATCAAATAAAATAGTTCTGCGGTTAAGCCTAAGATACTGCTGATAATTAAAGGAAATATTGTTCACTATTTCCTTTGAAAACATAAAGGGAGTGAATGTTGATTCCCAGTTAGCCAAGAGCTAGAACTAATTAATCAACAGTGAACAATATCTTTAGGATTGATGAGAAAACAATCTGACTCAGCTACCTGAATGTTACTCAAAAGTGAGGCTTCAAAGTATCAAAGAGCTATTTTTCTCTGGGTGTTTGACTACACACACTAGGTTAATGAGGAAACTATCTAGTTGATGCAGACTGTAAATTATGTACCTGGCTAAGATAAAATTCATTTACTTTCTTGACTCATATTTCCATTTACCTGTTTTGGTGTGTCCACGTGTAAGTGAAAATGATTGCTCTTAGAACCCAAATATAGCACTGTCAAACTTTTCCGGTGTTTTTAAATAAATTGCCACAGGTTTAGCTCCAGTGGTATTAGAATTTTATTTTAGTTCAATTTCTTACACAGGATGATTTTTACTTTTAATTAAATATAAATATCCTTTTGGGAAAACAAGATGAAAATCACTTTTCTTGGTCAACTCATTGGCACTCAACACTATCCATAAAAATACTCCAAGGAAATATGTCTTTGAGTAAGCACTATATTTCTCTATAGCTTTGCCACTTTATAGGGAGAGAGCAATTAGATTAGAAAGAAGGTATAGAGTGGAATAAATTGTTAATTGGTACTTTGGTAGATTTGAAATAGTTACTGTAAACACAATATTGTAACAGCAGAAAACAGTTTAAATACTTGTAAATTTAAACCGTTTACATGTTTAAATGTTTGTAACCAGGGAAAATTATAAAAGTAGCAATGTTTCTCTTCAATGCCTTCCACACACCTCTCTTCCCATGTGTATCTGGGGACCTCAGGTTGCTCCCCAGCCTTCCAGATCATCGTATAGGAGGAGAGACCATGTTCCACCCAGGTCGTAGCCCCACTGCCCTGCCCCCACCCTCTCCTTTAGTTCCTGGTACTTGGCCCAGACTTCTTTTTTTAAGAGAATCCGGCTCCAAGTGACTGTTCTGTAAACCCCTTCACTTAATAATTCCTGACAGCAAACTTAGCTCATTTCCCAGCAACTCTCATACCCATCAGCCAAATTCTGGCCTCCTACACTGCCACAAATCTGGAAAAATCACAGGCTTCCTGCCAGCCTCACCTGTTTTGATCAGTCCATCAATACCCAAAAGCTTCCAATTAAGAAGAGGTTCTTTCACTTTGTTATATCTCACATAACGTGCTTCTACTAATTTGTCCTCCAAAATCTCTTTATTTTGGACCTTTTATTTCCTACCATCTCCTGCAGGCCATAAGAAAATGAGCATGTGTAAACATGCTTGCTCACTTGATATATTAAGAAAACTTAGCCTATTGAATTAGTTTCCAGCCCTTGATTCAAAATTAGAAAGAGAATATAGAAAAACTTTTAAAGAGAGCTTCATAGCGCTTGAGTATTACATTCATATTAATCATTTAAGATGGAAAAGGTTACTTTTCTGGTTTGACAATGTACATAAATTTTGCACATGTGTAATATATCACAGTGGAAATTTATATAACAAAAAATTTAAAATTCAATTATTCAACATATAGGCCACTTGTCTTAGTCCATTTTGTATTGCTATCACAGAATACCACAGACTGAGTAACTTACAAAGAAACTTATTTCTCACAGTTCTCGAGGCTAGGAAGTCCAAGATTATGCTGCTGACATCTGGTGAGGGCTTTCATGTTGTGTCATCTCAAGGCAGAAGGTGGAAGGGCAAGAGAGTGTGAGAGAGCAGGGAGAGAAGGAAGGTCAGACTGATCCGTTTATCAGAAGTCTACTCCTGCCACAACTAACCCACTTCTGAGATAATGCTGTTAATTTATTCATGAGGGCATTGTCCCCATGATCCAAACACCTCTCAAATGTCCCGTCTCTCAAAACTGTTGCATTGGGGATGAAGTTTCCAACACATAAACTTTAGGGGACACATTCCACATAGCACCACCTAAAAGTACAATCGGTCAGAAAATACAAGAACTGCAGAAGAAAGAAACTGTTGAAAACAAAACCAAAAACTATCTGGTTGTTAAAGTATCATACTTAGCAAAGGCCAGAGGGATTATAAAGCAATAGTAAAATAATGAGAAGGTATATAAATGAAGGTTTCTTGAGAAAAGCTAACATAATTGCTGAATCATTTATAGCTGGAAAGGAAATAAAAACAGCTGATGAAACAAAAATAGAAATAATTTAGAAATCTCTATGGTGACCCAAGAATTTAAGGAAAGGTCACTAGCTTGATAAAAAGGAAAGAGTTAGATTCTCTTCACTTTTTCTCCAGGAAAAAAAAAAACTGACTTAACCAAACATAGTGACCTGTGACTACAGTCCGAATTACTTCGGAGGCTGAGGCAGGAGGATCACCTGAGCCCAGAAGTGCATTACAGTGAGCTATGATGGCACCACTGCACTTCAGCCCAGGTGACAGAGCAAGACCCTGTCTCTTTTTTTTTCTTTATTTTTATTTTTATTTACGTATTTATTTATTTTTGAGATGGAGTCTCATTCTGTAACCCAGGCTGAAGTGCACTGGCATGAACTCAGCTGATCGCAACCTCCACCTCTCGGGTTCAAGCAATTCTCCTGCCTCAGCCTCCTAAGTAGCTGGGATTACAGGCAGATGCCACCACGCCCAGCTAATTTTTGTATTTTTAGTAGAGACAGGTTTCACCATGTTGGTCAGGCCAGTCTCGAACTCCTGACCTGGTAATCTGCCTGCCTCAGCCTTCCAAAGTGCTGGGATTACCCGTGAGCCACCACGCCCCACCAACCCTGTCTCTTAAAAATCAAGAAACTGTTGAGGAGACAAAGACCACAATCTAGAATTTATTAATAAAGAATATTTTATTCCAGTTCATTCAAGTTCAATAGGGATCAATCTTTAGTGAACAGCCTTTGTATTTTAATGACTAAGACGATGTCCTGATCAGGCGGAACCACCTTGAACAGAAGCAGTAGTAGGCTCCAAGAGAAGGAACCGAGGTCATGGCTGCACCTTTACAAGGCACCACCACAGCTGGGTAGAGAAGACACTGCCAAATACATGCCTGCTTGTGTTCTGGGTAATTAAATGCTGGTGTCTTAAAAATAAATGGAAACAATCATTGGCAGTAGTCATTTATTTGACATTATAATTTGTTCAGCATTCCTCCTATTTTGCCTCTTGATTAAATCTGTATTTTATACTATAGTTGTATAAATTAACTTCACTGGAAAGTAAAACAAAATTAATAAAATAGACTATTGACATGGGTGGACTTGAGTTTTCAGAGAGGCATTTGAGGCACTAGTTTGAGAAGAAAAAAAGAATCAATGGAAATGGAAAATATTTCTCTGGCTCGTACAGGGAAAAAAAAAGATGAAGAGAAAAAGTTGTGAACCTTCAAGAAAATAGAAATAAGTCCACTTCCCACTAACTGGGAGAAAACGAGTAAGAAAAAAAGGTAGAAAAGGTTATATTGAGCATAATGACTGTGTCATTAGGTG